AAATATTATTGGGGAGAGAAATAAAGATACAGATACTTACATTTAGGTATACTGTTATCAAATTAAATCAAACAATTTAAATAAATAAAAGAATGGTGCTTACCTAAGTATAAATAACTATATAATGATATTCTTGGGTTTATGGTTTTTTTTTTATGTTAAACAAAATATCATCTAAAAAATGTAAAAATTTTAAATTGGAGAGGGGTTTCTCTACGTGATAAAGTTAGAAATGAAGGTATTTGCATTAGAATCAGAGTAACTGACATAGCTCAACGGAATATTACAGTGAAATGGCAATGGGCTAGCTATATAACTTGGAAAACATATAAAAAATAGGAAGAAAGGTCCTCGAGTGGCAACCTCGTACAGGTAAGCGAATTAGTACTCAACTTTTATTCCTCTTCACGTATTCTCATACACTTTTCTTCACACACACACACACACACACACACACACGCACATGCGCGCAAGCACGCACGCGCGCACGCACACACACACACACACACACACAAATAGGTCGCAAATAATACTTACCTAGTACTATTAGGCAAGAGTGAATAGGTTTTTGTTAAGTCAATTCACCATCTTAGACTACATAACCACTTACCGATGGGATTGTAGTTGCTTTACTACTTGCTAGGTAATAATAGTAAAAAAAAATTTACCCTGTGAAAGTTTGCATTTAGATATAATTTTTCGAACCAACCATAAAAATATGATGAGAATATGTATATAAGTATAAAGGTTGCCTCACACGGAACAGTAATAATATAATATTATATCTTCCATTATCTCTGAAATCCGAGGTATGTTCATATTAAGAGGCTGAATAGAGCCACATTGAAATGCATGGGGATCGTTTTGTAATTTCACGTCATTATCGAAAAAAAAATTGTACGTATTTTAGGTGGCGGTTTGCATAACACGATTCCACAAAAATTAACTCAATAAAAAATAATTGCAAAGGTGCTTCTAAAAATACTTAAATTTTCAACGTCAATTTTTTTTACGTGGTAGAGCCATGCTACAGCTATATTTATTAGGTATAGTTGTAGCACGAATGGGTCGGCTCGATCGGGGAAGGGCCACGCTCTCACGGAATAACATGTAAAATAGCAGTTTAACCCTGCTGTGTTTCGTATGGTGAGTGTAGAGAACCGGAGAACCTTTTTACTGGAAACGAGGCATTACATCTTAGTCTTTACGGGTGACAATGCATCTACATTTTGATACGTAATCGAAGTATTGTAAGCACTCGTACAATTATGTCTCATGTTAATAAAGCTATTGGGCTATTTTGATTTGTAATAAAGTGATTTTACTTTATAGGTTAAATAATTTATTTACCTTTCTATATCAAGAACCGTTTTTCTGTCACTCCTATTGAATTTGACAGTGCTTATATTGCAAAAATAATCGAAAATATTTATTTTTACTTTTATGCCCAAGACTACCTTGTTTTATTTTATTACGGTCAAATAATATTTATTAATATTTAATATTTACAAGTATTTTTGTAAATGTTTTGTATGTAAATGTAAATGTTTTCATTATTTTGTTATTCTATTGTTTACAGTTATTATCACGTCTTAGCTTTACACCAAGAATTACATTAGAAATTCTTGATGGGATGCGATGTAACGCGCATACATTATTTTCATCAAGAACTATAATATATATTTTTTATATATATTTGTTTTTTTTTACCAGTAGAGTTTCAACAAAATCTTAAAAAAGTTCAATGAATTAAAAAAATGCTAATAATTATATAATTTCAAGTCAGTGTTTTTTTATTTAAAGATCAGTTATAAAGAGCCAATGTTATTATTTTCATTTTGATTAATTTAATTCGAGACTAAAATAAATGTGAAAGGGATTTTATCTGCAATAATAATTTTCATCAAAAATAACATAATAAAAAGTCATATACACGGTCAATCATACTGAAGATTATCAATTGTACTACAAAATATTTAAAAGACTATTTCCAGTATAATGACATATCATCATTAATGTTTGACTGGCACAATTAAAAGTTTTATCACATGGCTAAATGATTGACTTTTATATTATGATAAGGTCATGCTTTTCTATAAAAAGTTGCAAGAAATTTTAATTCCCGGGCCTATTGGTTTGTTTTACTTTTTACTTAATTAGTGAAAAACAAAATGGAGTGATCTAAAAGTTTACTTTCTTGTGTAAAAAGTGCTATTTAGAATTTTATGCAAATGATAATTAAAGTTTCTATGTAAATAAGTGTAACATAGCGGGTATTATATTCAATGGTAGCGGCCATCCGTATTGGCAAAGTCAGCATCATTTTCTGTACAGAAACCGGCAAAGTGTTGCTCAAGGCACTATAAACATAGCAGCTGATAAAATGTTGCACTCATAACTGTTAACAAAAACTGTTTTCGCAAATGGTCTTATGGATAATAATAACTATTCCGCCGTGTTAGGTGCAGGAGTTATTATTAGAAGGAGAAGAGGTAAAATTTTGTTTTAGAAATGCGCAATCAATATTGTTTTGTCTGCAATTGAGCATAAAATAAAAAATAACTTCAGCCAAAGAGCATAACTGGCATTATACTCAGGCCCATCAATTGGTATGGAAAAAAATAATTTTACCAGGTCTCAAAAATCAATCAAAATTCAAAAAACATAAATATTAAAATCAAAAAATGTATATATGTATGTCTATACATACATATAATGATTTATGGCCGCTTAGTAACTGACGGTGACTCACTATAACATCCTACAGTCACGCCGAAACTAAGAGGAGAGAATCACTGTAGAAAAGGTAATAATTTATTGCGGAAATTTTGTGATAAAATTAAAAAAATATAAACTTATCCAAGTTAATCTAACTTAGTCTAACTTATCCTTATGCGTACAAAAAAAAACAAATAATAAAATAGTGAGATGGCGTCAGTTTTTAAGAAGATATAACAAAAATAAACAAAAAAATAAATTTCAATAAAGTTCAGTATTTAATTGATTATATACCGCTGACACCTAATCATGCTTTTCGAAACCACGCCAGTTGTAAACAATACTTGTGTGAAAAGACAAAATTTCTTTTCAAATTTCCGCCGAGTTGTAAGTAGAAGGCCAAATAGGTCACGTGTCAATTTTAATTAAATATATTTTATATGAAGTGATCTGGACTACGTTTCATCAATTAACCATTGGTAAAAATTAAAACAGGAATTTTACGATTGTGTTTACAAAAAACATTATTAGTTGAACCTTGCAGCTTGTTCATTCTTTTTATTATAAATACCTATAAATGTATATATTATTAATAAATAGTTCCCTTAGTATATTGGATTATTTTTTATTTTGCTCTATCTGCAATGTTTTACGCTCTATAGAAAATGTGGCGTATGACATGACTGACAATCTTTCGAACGTTTTATCTAGGTACAAAGATGTTTTACGTTTTCGTCGCCTCCACATGATATTTTTGTCAGCATAAGGTACCCTTCTATATCTGAAACGAATATAAATATTGCTACAAAGTAAAGTAATAGGCTATACAAGTCCCTCTACTGGGCACAGGACTCTTTTTTTATTTCTGAGAGGATTTTAGGGCAAGGAAATGCCCGCCGTGCTTCCCCAATGCGTGTTGACGAAAATTGCAATTACAAATTTCATTCGTGCTGTCGGGGATCAAACCCGGGAAAATTTACAGCGAACGCTTTGACGACATATATTTAATACGACACAAATAAATACGATTTAACATATATAATAAAAATTCTTACGTACTTGAAACTTGAACACTTGATAGCTCGTGATGCCTACCGGACAAAGCTACAGCCCCACACCGTGCAATGTAATTGAAGATGCGTAACCGCGACATAATTCTCAGTGATGCGCAAGCATAACAGGCAGTATGTCACTTATATAATTGTCATCTCTGCAGTCTATTAATCTTTGCACTTTTATAAGTAATACAGAACGTAGTTGCTAGACGGTGTCGACATCGGCTAAAATCTCTGCGATCGCCGTTTCGTCAAGGTCATTCAGGCTAGCCTGAATGACCTTGACGAAACGAAAAGAATAGCCTTAAGCCTTAAGTTAATCAGGCCCGGTCAATATGGGCGGAATGAAATGCCTACGGGGGCTAAATTTCATTATTGCTATTTGTCAGATAAATGTCCTGTGTAACAATTAGTAATATTTTGCTAAAGATGAATTAGAAACTCTCAAATATAAATTTTTCTTATGAAGATTACTATCTCTGCCACATTTTTTTGCGTTATTATATTAACATATCATTGACAGAAAGGGAAAAAAATGTTCTTTTTTTTGTTTTGTTTTTTAACGAGTATAAAATTATATTCGATTCTGGTAGCACTAAAAACAAATAAGGCGCCGTTGGGAGTTTTGGCGGGAAATTGACCGGCGGCGGTTTGCTGCTCCTGTATTATTGTTTAAATAATGGTTTGAAGTGGACTTTGATATGTAAAAGTGTTGCGATTTTGTGTGTTAAGTGTCTACGCATGTGAACTATTAGTGGAAACAGTGAAACAAGTGCTCTGATGGTGATGGATTCTCAAGATAAGCTGTTTGTTTGCATAGGCACCTTTAGATACCATCGCCAACTATCAGCTGTCTGCTGGATCAAGTTGCCGCCAAAATCTCCCAAGAACTGCACAATGTGACGCATCAACATGTTGTGAAGCAGTATACTATGAAGGAGTGGGGAAATTACAATAAACCGAATAAAAATACTTAAGACTTGGCCTAAAGGTCTAGATACCAGGCCATAAACTCCAAAAAAAAAAGGCGCCGTTGCATTATTGTCGTTCAAGGTTGCTTGTAGTTTTTGTTTGGATTGTATCTCCTTTTCTACGATTTTGCTAGCTTAGGACGTCGAATTAAGATTTATTTCGTCCCTTTTGTGTTGTGCAAAGTGTTTAAGTTTTTAAAACTGAACGTGTGTGGGTGTAAAGGACGTCAGTTTTCACTGTCAGTTAAAACTGGTCAGTCAAAACTGACAGTTAAAAGTGATCGTGTGTAGCCCCTAGGTTAGACAGTGATCCGCAGTGAAATACGAGAAAGTGACTCTAAAAACCGTGCTGTGCTATGGCGGATAAAGAAAATAGAAGGAAGTGTTTTAAGTGCAGCAGCTCGGCCGTAGACAACATTAAATTATTTATTTTTCTGAAACCCCGCAGTCTGCAGTAAAGAACATTTTTCGGTACGTATTTATTCACTTCAAGTTCTAACCTTAAAGAGTTAACTCTTTATCCAACTTATAAAGGTTATTTCTCATAACCATCTATAAACAAATTATTGGTTAGTAAACCACTGGAACTACTTTGATAATATTCGTATTTAATAATAATATTTTTTGGTTTCAGCTGTACATTGTGGGCGAAATATTTGTTTCTTGCCAAAGAGTAGTATACTAGCTTTCCAGGCAAAGCTACATAATGAGAACAGAATGCTGTGTGAAAAACATTTTAATGGGCTTAGCTTTCCATTGACTCCCGACGAGTTGGGGGTTGATACGTATTTTCACAGAAGAGTTACACTATTATAAGCACACACACACAAAGTTACAACATGCGGAAACGCATAATTTTTGAGAAAAAAGTTATTGAAAATCAATTATTCTTGCATTGTTTATACCTATCTAATCCTACCATAACACTGACGCCATTTTGTAATGTCATTGTCGTCAGTAGGGATGTCGATTCTTTCCGAAAAAGGTACGATTTTTAGTAAGCTGATGTATCGATTCACAAAAAATCGATTTCTAAAATATCTATATTTTTTAATGTTTGCATTTATAATGTAAATATAATTCCATTTTATGAAAAACAAGAAAGACCATAATAAATGATCTCTTATTGAAATTTGTTTTATTTTAACAATACCAATTAGGGCAGATAACAAATAAAATAGGTTAGATTCAACTTATGTCAAAGAACCGAATTGATTGACCCCGACTCCACCTGATACGAGTCTGTCCTACCCCTAGAGTGGTTTTAAAGAGCCGGAGGCGCGTAGGGGGAGCAGCCTCCGCCTGCTGTAACAAATCGTAGGCATCGGACGAGCCGGAGCGACTGAGGCTGTGTCTAAATATTATGTTGTCTATATTTAGACATTATATAGACGAGAGTCATTACGAATCGTCTCGCGCGCAGACTTGACGACTTCCAGCCTCCCGAACAAGCCGGTTTCCGAAAGGGCTTTAGCACCATAGACCACATACATACCCTTCGGCAAATTGTACAGAAGTCCGAAGAGTACAATTTGCCACTATGTTTGGCGTATGTGGACTATGAGAAAGCCTTTGATTCCGTCGAAATTTGGGCGGTGCTGCAGCCCCTTCAGCGGTGCCAAGTTGACTGTCGGTATATCGAAGTGTTGAAGTGCTTGTACAGTAGGGCTACGATGGCTATCCGAGTACAGAACCAGAGTACGAAACCTATCCAATTGCAGAGAGGTGTAAGACAGGGTGACGTCATATCCCCGAAACTCTTCACCACTGCATTGGAAGACGTTTTCAAGCTTCTGGACTGGAAAGGATACGGTATCAACATCAATGGCGAGTACACTCACCTTCGATTTGCCGACGATATAGTCCTTATGGCAGAATCGCTGGAGGACCTAAGCACTTCAATGACCTCAATAGTGTTTCCCAACGGATAGGTCTTAAGATGAACATGGACAAAACAAAGATCATGTTTAATGTCCATGTCACACCTATGCCGGTAGTTGTTGGGAACACTGAGCTCGAAGTTGTTGACGAGTATGTTTACCTGGGACAAATAGTCCGACTAAGTAAGTCGAACTTCGACCGAGAGGTCAATCGACGGATTCAACTCGGCTGGGCAGCGTTCGGGAAGCTAAGACACATCTTCTCGTCAGACATACCTCAAAACCTTAAAACGAAATTGTACAACCAGTGCGTGTTGCCAGTGATGACTTACGGAACTGAGACGTGGTCCTTCACTGCTGGCCGGATGAGAAAGCTCAAGGTCGCTCAGCGAGCTATGGAGAGGGCTATGCTCGGAGATTCACTGCGTGATAAACTTAGGAATGAGGATATCCGCAGTAGAACAAGAGTAACCGACATAGCCCAACGGATTAGTAAGCTGAAGTGGCAGTGGGACGGCCATATAGCTCAAAGAACCGACAACCGATGGGGAAGAAAGGTTCTCGAGTGGCGGCCTCGTACCGGTAGGCGAAGTGTAGGGCGTCCCCCCACGAGATGGAGTGACGACCTGGTAAGACATGCAGGAAGTCGATGGATGCAGGTGGCTCAGGACCGTGCTTTGTGGCATTCTTTGGGGGAGGCCTATGTTCAGCAGTGGACTTGTGAAGGGCTGTAATGATGATAATGATGATGATGAAAATAATCAAACCTTTAAAAAATCAAATCCGATTTAAAATAACTGAAAAGAGTACAATCTTCGAAAACGGGTGACGTGGTTAAAAATTATTTGTCCTAATGTGTTTTAATTTCTTATATCGAAAAATAATATAAAAAAAATATTTAATTTATTTCACTGGTAACGAGCCATGAGGGCTAATAACTTTCTGCTCACCAGATGTCGTTAGTTGACTTGAGGTTTGTTTCTTTGTTACACATTGTCATTTAAGTTTTTTGTTACACAATGTCATTTATTTGAATAGTTAGTTTTTAATTAAAGTTTATCAATTTCCACAGTATTAAATTAATACATAAAACAATGCCTCAATGTTTTGCTCTTTAATCTTTTTGCACAATTTTAACTTTTTTAACGTTTGGTTTATTTATTTTTAATATTATTAATATAAAATATAGCTAAAAATACAGAAATACACTTTTCCTCACGCCGTCCTGGTGGCAGAAAAAGTCGTGGATGCCCTTATTAACTAGGCATTCCATCTTAGTCCTCAGGGATGGCACGCATCTGTACTTTTATTCTTAATCTAGGATAGTTGATTCCGAATATAAATACAGATGCGTCTATCAAAAAACAGGCGGTCGGCGGGTCTTCACCTCTTTGTTGTCGATATTCCACGCATTAGAACCAAACGGTTTGCTTCGACTATTGTAATGCGTATAGCAAAGAAGAGGAATAATTTTCCGGCGTCTATCTTTCCGTACGAATACAATCTGGGCGTCTTCAATGCAAGAGTGAATAGGCTTTTATTACGCTAAGACAGACGATTTACCGTCTAAGGCTACAACATCATTTAACACTAGGTGGGATTGTGGTCAAGCACTGGCTTATAATAAGTTAAAACAAAGTAGATATCTTCGGGGCGCAATATACAATTACTATCAAATGAACTGTATAATTACTTAGCGATAACATAAGAAATAATGTTTACGAGAATACTACACATTTAAATAAAACTAGTTTTTCGGAATCTGTGTATTCGCTTGTCAGTCTTATTCCCTTTAAAATAAAATAAAAAGTTGCGAAATGTCTGGTGTCTGGTGTTTGGTCGCTAATCACTTGCCAAGCGTGGCGATTAAGACCAAATCCTCAATACAACAAACGCTCCACAGCAGTGGACTCTAACGACTGACAATAAAGATTGATTCCGAGTACTTTTTTGCTTATGTAAAGAAAGTATTATTAAAAAATTCTCTATTAATTGAAAAATCTAAACTAAGAATCTTGATAAGGTAACTAAAACATAAAACGTAGGTATTTTAAGTTAATTTATTTATAATTCGATTATTGTTTAACAAAAGAAATGGATATATACATCGAGTCACATTAATAAGAAAACCTACATAAATATTAATAACAAAGAACACTTCATAAATATAATTTTTCTCATTCAGCATATTCTAAACATTATCAATATTGAATTCAAACAATATGAGACTTTATATAAAAGCCTATTTTAATAAAGCTTAATCAGTTTATTTAAGTTTTCTGCAAAAGACACAAAATGAATTAAATGGGAAATAGTTAATTAAAACTTACAGACAATAGAACACTACACCCACCAACAAACCCTCCAACATATGAGCAGAGGCGTAGGTCGCTCAAGTCCGTCAGTAGAGTTTATCCGATGATTGGCAGTTGCGGTGATAAATCAATACCACATCAATGTAATGTGATCGATTTCACCTAATTACTCTAACCGCTTATCACACTGTTTTAGTTCAATGTATGATTAGCAACCTCAACACTATCGTCTTTTTCACTTTTTTATATTTTTTCGGAGGGCAAACTTTGGAGTTAGACGGTTGGACGATTGTGTAGTGCCAGCAAAAGACTTCTTGAATTTCTCAAACCTAAGGACGCCGATGATTTCTACTAAGTTTATGTACTTCATATCAAATAACTGTTTTAAGCCTTAAAAAAAGGTTTTTCATAAAGTCTACGTGTTCTTCGTCTGAATCCATTCCGAATAGAATAACAATATAATGATAATAACGTCATGGAAAAAGGTATATGTTGCTATCTATTGTATATAATTACATTTCAGAATAAATACATTTTGTCATTTAAAATTTAAGTTACAAGATATACAAGTATACAACATTATCATTGTTTGAAGTCGTAAATTCGTTATTTCTATTCGCAGTAAATGAAATAACAATCGTAACCTAGTTACTAGTAACAAATTATTTTATTCTATAAAGTTAGTTACATAATTATGTGCAAATAAAACAATATTGCTTAAAACAACCCTAACTAAAGATCCGTATCACGTAATAGTAGATGAAGTAAACGCACAGACAGTAGATAATCATTTGTACGACCTTGTCCAAATAGTACAACCTGAAACAAATTACAATAAATATGAAAATTGTCTCCAACACGTTCAATTTAGGTTTTTTATTTGGTATCGTCGAATTAAACAACTAAAAGTGAGAGACAGATAAATGTACCTAAACTGAGCAAAACAAGGAGAAAGAACTTCTCTAATACGTTAGCTTTAAACAGCGTTCAAGTAAATTTTATGTATGAATTATTTAAATTTTTCTAGTTAAATCTGTCCATACAGACAGACAAACAAATTTTTAACTAAGATTCATACGAAAAATCAATTATAAATCACAAAAACTCTTTGGGACATTATTTTTTTAAATGAGACATAATCACTACATTGATATTTAAATGTATATGTTATATATGTATATATTATTTATGGTAACTTCTCCCATAGTTTTCCACATTTTGCTGTTCCCCTATTGCAATCTCATTACACGGGTTAAGTCTCGTATGATACTTACTGTTTTTGCAATCTTCTTGCCTGTGGTAAAGTAGATGGATCTTCTTTGCAGCAATATTCACGAGCTCCCTTGATATAATTTCTTATATAGGCGTTCCAATTTATTACCTGAAAATTTAAAAAAAATTAAATTACTTTAAAAAAAATAATGGGGGTGGAATTGACGAGGAAAAGGCTTTATCTTGAGTTGGCCGATAGAAACAGCGGTGTAACCATCTGGAATATTTACTGTAAAATGTACGGACTCGCCACAGGAAGAAGCATCAAAGGTGCCAGATACTTGATACTACGCTCGTCATGCCTGGCAATTATAGCAATATTTCGTGTGGCTCTTCACCGATTTGCATTTGCAAAGAATTTGCAATATTTTTTAAATTACTTTATTTTTGGACATATTACTGCTCCACAACTTTTTTTTTTGAAGTTAGAGTGACAGTGAGCAGGTTTTATTTAGTTACTTAAGTCACCTGCCAATAATTTCTCACCACACCATGCGTTGACTGACAGATAATGCTAACTGGCATTAAGTCCGCCCTGTATAATCTTTTTATTGGTTAGAACAATAAAATTTTAAATAAATAAAAAGACTATTGGTAAATCCAATTGTGCATGCCTTAAGCGTTTAAATGTTTTAAAGTAGTTTAAATACAAACAAGTTTTCACTAATAACCTTATTATTATACTTCAAATTTTCCGATAATTTAATGTCAAACTTCAATTTAAAAAAGTTTTGAAAATCCTTTTGGATTTTGCGCACGACTCATAATGATCATATAATGATCATCATATCATCAATCAGTTAACTATAAATTATATTATTAAATGGTATTTATATATAAATTCTACTTACTTTTAGTACGTACTACTATTATTTATTGTGCTTTTAAAATATTGTAATAAAAATCTGTGATAATAATAATAATGAAGTGTATCATTTTTGGTTATTCGAATATTTTGTATTTGTGCAGCAATCTTTTTGAGCACGAGCCACTGCAAACAACCGATACAGTATCCACTCACGAGTGAGGCAGTCTATTTAGTAAAATAAATTATTACAAGGCTGCTCAAAACATAGAAAATTTCGGAATTTCTCAGCCGAAACAAATTAATTATAACTGAATTAAACAAAATTAAACTGCCATTTACATTCCATGGCTTCCCACATGAGAGATGAAGATATTAAAAATACATTGAGTTGAAAAATTGATATTTTCAAAAGTTATCGTGTTTACCACTCCATGCTGACATGATAAATCCACGCCATAAGCCACTAAAACCAATTTTTTTATGTAAAATAGCAATTAATCGATTTAAAAAAAAATTATAAGTTCAACTAAATTTTATTTCAATATAATTTTTAAATAATAATAGTATTATTTAAAATAGTTAAAATAATTTAACTTCCTAACAATGTGCTTTTATTATCATTTGTATGTACAATATTATTGTTAGGTACGATTTCATGCGACAAAACGTTGAAACCTTGGTTTTTAGGCCCTAGTAAAACATACTTTTTTACGTGGTAGAGCCATGCTGTGCTGAATTGTGGTTACAGCATATTATATGGGTTGGCTCGACCGGGGAAGGACCACGCTCTCACATAATACCAGCGTAAAATAGCAGCTCAATGCTGCTGTGTTTCGTATACGTATGGTGAGTGTAGAGAACCGAAGACCCTTTTCATTGGAGACGAGGCATTCCATCTCAGAGTTCAGGGGTGACAACGCATCTGCATTTTGATTCTTAATTGAGGATAAATGTAGATGTCTGTGGGCCACAGAATCCAATTACCATCAGGTGGAATGTGTGCTCGTTTGTCACCCTTATTCTATAAAAAAGATCCTACGCGCTTCCCGCTTAAGGCATGCAATAAGTAAATATGCAAAACACTCTACTTTAGGTTAAGTGATTATAACAGGCCATAAACATCTTATCGTTGTTGCTGACCATTTCTCGGTTTCCCTCAGTTGCCTTTACGGCCAACCCAACTAAAACGTTAGAGGCGCACGGGTCCTCCGCACTCGAGTCATCCGCCCTCGATCATGAATCCACCAACTATTGACCTTCTGTTCACAGACCAATACCACACCACATTGGGTTCTGGACAACGAGGTAGGCATGACCCTAGAGTGAGACGTTCGATTTCGTACACTACCTATTTCTTAAAAAATAAGGGTGGACGACTAAGATGGCGGGTCCCTATGAAATGGTCCCGGTCTTGAACGCCTATTGTATGTGCCTACGTGGACTATATCTTCTTACCCTAATTTTAGAGTTAACACTGAAGA